ATAGCGTTAAAGTTGAACCATAAAAATGTACAGTAGTAAAAGCAATATGTACGTCACGCACCCTGTAGGAAATATTGCCACGTTGAATATGCAGACAGTGGAGAGTCGATTCGATGCCGTTCGCAGCACAATCGCACTTACGTATGAACGATTTGGCACATTATACGTCGAGATCTTAAATTGAAAGCGTACAAAATATAGACGACATTGTTTCGCTCTATGGGCTCTTGAAAAGTTCCGAGTTGATTCGATGAGGCCCAGTTTTGGCTCAATGGGTATGTAGATAAGCAAAATTGTCGCATTTGGGACGCAGAGCACCCTCTAATTTTTTCAAAAATGATGCCGGCGAGAATGTCAATGGCGAACTTTATCGCGCCATAATAACCGACTATTTGATGCCTGAAATTGTAGCGCGTGATGTCGGCGATATTTGGTTTCAACTTGACGGTGTCACGTCTCATACATCGCATCTTTCAATGGATTTATTGAGAGAACTCATCGGTGAGCAGATAATTTGATATTTTTGGCATTTTGATTGGCCACCAACATCGTATTATATCACATCATTTTTTCTGTAAGGATATATGAAGTCTTAGATCTATGCGGACAATCACGTTTGCCATTCTCCAGTCACAGTCAAACAATAAACATTCCGCATTAATTTTGAAGATTCTGGGTTTTTTTTCTAAAAAAAAGTAGGGAACCTCGAAAGGGATCACTGATGTTTTATCCTCAATCTTGCAAAAGCGTCAGATTCACAAAAGAAGTGGGTCGTCGCTTTTATTTGCCAACATTGGATAAGGATAAGTTTCTGAATCATACATAAATAAGCTTTTCTGCAATTTCGAGAGTGCTGGTGAGCGCTTAGGTGTTTCAAGATCAATTTTTCGTGTATATAACAATTGAACTATATAACGGCTCACCTGACTCTAGGCTACAACCAACTCTCTTTCGATGCAAAAATAATCAATATGCAACTATGATAGATCTTAGTTTTGATAGATCACAAATTATTATTGTTTACATTTTCTTAAAATTTTCAAACGTAAAGTTTCATGGCGTGAAAATTTCAAATCCTAGAGGGAACCCACTTTGAGTATAATTATATGTATGTACAAATTTTTCTTTATACATATACATATGTATATATGTTAAAACCCAGCTATCGAAGTGGTCGATTGAAAAAATCTGCTTCTTAACTTAGGCGCGCTTTTGGACCGAGCAGTACCGAACAGGTTTAACTTCAGCCGTACTTAGCATAACAACAACAAAACGTTTAGTTTTGCAAGCTTGCGCATTGCTTGCCGCATGTATCGATTTCATTCAAAAATCGCTTACACCCTTGTTCCACCCTACTCTCTTGGCGCCATTGGCGACCGACGCAATTGCTCGTTCACTTGAAGATCAATTAATTTCGGTAAAAAGCGCTATTAATTTGTGCTGTTGTAGTGCGCTGAACAGCACCGTGTTGTTGTACCATAGAGTTATTGAAGTTGTTGCGCTGTGGCTTTTGTTGCACAATATGCGCCAATTGAATTTATAGGCATGGCTTTGTTGTTTACTGGTTAAGTGCAAGCTGGTGGCTTAGATGAGTTAGCGCTGCCAACAACTCCGTTGCGCGTTGCCGCCACAATTCAACAGATATGCAAATTGCCTGTCAAAGTGATTAAATGACCGCCCTCTCATGCAATAATGCCTTTTTTTTTAACAGGTTTCCTGAAAGTTATTTCTCTCATTTCTTTCGTGTTAGTGATTGAGCTTGTAAGTCACTTGGTTATTGATTTTTCTTTATTAGATAAGTGAGCTGATACCCCGGCCAATATGTCTGTATATTAGGGTTTTTAATAATAATATTTTTTTTTTTTAATCAATTGAAAAGATCTAATTTGCTCTCTTGAATGGTAATTAATTATTTTGAAAGGTAATAGTAATTGATCCTAAACACATAACCTCTACAAAGCTTTAAGAAATATTATTATTTTTGCAAACTCCCAATTAAAAATACGAATTCTTCTAAGCCTATAGTTCGTCGCAATTCTATCGCAATTAGACGTGAAAATTGCTTTTTGGATACACAGTCTCCTTTAAGCTATTTCATACTAACTCGCCATAATTTGTATACCCTTAACAGGTACCTTAATGTCCATCCGTCTATAAACATATGATTTAGTCCCTCATTTTTTGAAATATCCAACTGAAATTTTGTACCAATTCTTTTCTTACTATGAAACTACTAATTTGCCGGACCGATTGATATCGGGCAACAAGATCATATACAAGTAGTTGTCATGCGAACGATACGATCGGAGTATAGTATTTGTATGGAAAAATGTTTAATTTTACGAGATCTGTTGATGAAATTTGGCATGAGTTATTCCCTAAGCCGAGATCTCCTCAACGTGTCACATATCTTCGGAACACGTCAGAAAACTTCAATGAACGTGTTAGGTACTAACTCAAAATATCTATGTTTATTAATCCGCATTCAACTTAAAAAAGGATATTAAATCTCAGTCGTAGAAATCGAACGAATATTAGCCGATCTCGCCAAAAAGATGATCAAAACATTAAAAATTAAAGGTTTGTAAATCAATCAAAAACAAACTTAAGCTTTTTTAAATATTAATTAATAAGTTTCCAAATGTATACAAAATGTACACACGCAAGTTATGATTTTACCTCGTCCATCATTGGCGCCGACAAATACTTAAAACGAAGATTTTATGTCTAACCCACGCAAATATCCACGTGCGGAAAACTGCCAGCCGCACCGCAGCAATAAAAAATCGAACCGAAGATATCGTTTGATAATTTCCACAAAAAAAAAAAAAAAAAAAAAAAAAAARAAAAAAAAAAAAAAAAAAAAAATAAAAAAAAAAAAAAAAAAAAAAAAAAAAAAAAAGTATGCCGTTTGTGCTTGCACAAGAGTGGTCCGACGGCACGCGTGTCCATTTAATTAATTATTTAAGAAAATGTAAATGACTTAATTAGAGAGGTAAACAGTTGAAGGAGAAACGTGCAGCGCACAGCAGGCAAACACACGCAAAAGCGCGACGGGAATGGAGCGCTTAAGTGCACCGGAAATGTTGGATCATTAAGAATTGTAACAAACTCGTATATATGCGCACATTTGGCAGATAAATATTTATTCATTTATTTATCCATACGTAGATATATTTGATCTAGAGAGACTTTGCTGCTTTCCACTACCGTTAAGAGAGTGAAATCATATTAAGCGTAAGTGGGACCAAATATTAATATTGAGGGTACCTATAAGCTTTGATGGCTACCAATTATACAATCTTTGTACTAGAAAAACTGTTATTACGTGTTGTGGTGAATTTCTCCCAATTCTTTACTAATATTTACGCCCGAAAATTATCATTAAGCTTGAATTATTGATTGCAATCTCAGATCAGCGAAATCGGTTGCCATAATTTGTGGCGGCTACCGTCACACTTCAAAGTGGATCAAAGTTTGTACAAGACAGAACTTGTAGGTCAAAAATGTAATCTATGCATTTTTTTTTTATAATCATATGTCCAAAGATCGGTTCCTCTCATGACCCTTTTTCTCGTAAATAGTTGAACATATTCAACTTAAAAAAAAAACTTTTATTTTGACTTGAGAATTTTTGATTAAAAATTTGAGTTTTTCTTCCAATACTAGGTCAATATAAGGAGAATCAACATAAATAAATATTCCCAATTAAAAAATACAGTGTGTTTGAAAATTAAGAAGTTAAGTTTACATCCATTTTCCAGAAAGACAATTTTTTTTTAACACGACAAAAATAGAAATACCCAGAAACTGTGTTATTTGAGGTTATGTGAAGAAGGTCTGTACAAAGAAGTTATAGATTTTTTCATAACCTTCAACAATGCTAAACACTATTTTTCTATAAGACTAATAGTTTTGCCGGAAATCGTTATAAACCGCTACTAACACGCCTCTCCACTTTCCTTTTCACAAACAAAGTTTGCTCGTAAACTCTTTAAGGGATCGTTTCAGTGAGTCCCTCTTAAAATTTTTCGCGATTTTTTTTAATGGTAAAATTAGCTAATCGGTCCGGTCCCGGTGTTTGATATTTTTCTTTCACTTCCGATGCGTTTCATTATACTATGAAAGTCATACTTTTTATCAAAATCTTCTTCACTAGTCCCACTTACTTATATATATAAACAACCAACATTGAAAGCAAATCTTTATTTTTATTGCTCGACTTTTTACTGCATACATACATCAATTTATACTGTTGACTCCTGCTTGAGTACTTGGTTAAACATTTCAATTGCTTATTTGTTAAAAAATATTGTAATTTATAGAAAAATATACATATGGATTGCATGTTTGCATTTTTACATATAGTATAATTATAACATAACATAGAAGGCACTAAAATACTATAGTTCAGTAATAATATATAATAATCGCTTCCAATGCGACACTCGCTGCCAGCTATGACTAAGCCTTGCTGTTTTGTTAAAATGTTTATGTGAGACAAACCACCAAGTTCAGAGAGTATGCTGAAATTTCCCTAAAGTGGTTCTATTCACTATATACTTTTTGTTTTAAGCCAGTCTATTGAAGTTATGCCAGTCTATTTGGTTTCTGCCAGTGGTTTATTCGATTCGCTATATGCGAAGTTATCGAAGACATGGAAATATTAGTAATATGTATTGCATGTGCGGTTACTTGATGAGGCATACAAAATATTATTATTTTTTAAACAAAATCGGCTTCGATTTTATTGCACTTTTATTGAGTAAATATAGCGATGTGCTCTTGTCATAAGACTTACTTCCACAACACAAAATATTTAAATGGAATTCAATGCAAGAAAGTGTGTGAATAAACTTTGTATAACTCTTTCTAATCACTCCATATTTTATTTATATCGGTTGTTAATTCCCCACTATCCATGTTTTGGCTGCCGGATGACGACAATTAATATGTCTAGACCGATTTTGCTAAGACATTTTATTTGTATTACTCCTTCAGTTTTTGTTTCGTTCTAACTTGGTGCGAGAAATTCTATGGTTGTATCCGTAAACTATTCTAAGGCCTATCATATAATTTATATTAAGAACCACATATATTATCTTATTTGGACCGAATAAATCAACGTTACCATATTTAACAAGACCGCATTATTTTATATAAATACAATTATTCTTTAGTCGGTAAGTCGAAAACGTTTTAAGCGATTTAAAAACTCATACTTATTATATATTTTTGCAGTTTTTGGTCAAATTCATACAAATGATGACCACCCTAACGTAACAATATCTACAAACATAAAATAAATATTAATACAACTATGCGGAGCTGCCGATTTGCCGAGTTACAGGAGTATTGCACAACGGGTCGTAGCCTATGACTTAACTAATTTTTGGTATTTTGCCTTTGGTTCTACAACTTTGCCTTGAAAGCGTTTAGAAGTGTTATATAAATATTATGTTTTCATTACAATCTATATTAATTAATAAATTTAATGCTAAAGTTCTTGTAACTAAACTTAGAAGTAATTAAATAWACTAATTTGAGCTCGCAACCGAACGAGTATTGAAATACTTTCGTAGACTTAAGCTAAGTTTTATGAGTATTGTGGTGTGCGATATGTGTTAAGCGCAAAGCTAACATTTAAATTTAATTTTSTATATACAACCTATARATTATGCATATATATGCGAGACTAACGGCTTATTAACTTATTTATAGTGATAGCGTAGGGACTCAACGTCCGATTCGTCGTCACTTGATGAGGGCGGCGTTTCCAGATTCGCCACCGCCACGTCSAGATAATCTTCATTGGCCARCAGCAGCTTATCGAGGTTCTCGACAATCTCAGCAAAGGTTGGACGTGCGCTGGCATCGAAGTGCCAACACTGTCGCATCAGCATGTAAATATTCAGCGAGCATTTTGGTGGTTTGTCCATACGTTGGCCGGACATCAGATAGCTGTAGAGTTCCTCCGCTGACATGATGGTGGGATATGGCTGTGCGCCGAAGGTCATTATTTCCCACAGTAATATGCCATATGACCAGACGTCACTCTGTGAATCGTAGAATTTGTCCCGCAACGATTCGGGCGCCATCCATTTGATGGGCAAGCGACCGTTGGTGTTCTTACGATAGTAGTCCGTGTCCTGTATGTCGCGCGCTAAGCCGAAATCCGCTATCTTCATGACGTAATCATCGCTTACGAGCACATTGCGTGCCGCCAGATCGCGATGTATGCAGCGACGTGATGCCAAGTACTCCATGCCGCGCGCAATTTGAAAAGCAAAAGAAATGAGGTGCTTCTCGGTGAGGTGGTGCTTTGGTAGCGGTAGCTGATGCTGCTGATCGCCATAATCTTTGAGTGTACCAGCAGCAAGCGGTCGATTTTTGTTGAGAAAGTCCTTGAGATTGCCATGCGGCGCGAACTCCACAATCACATAGAGCGGTCCCGATTGACTGCAACAACCAAGCAGGTTAATTATGTTGATGTGTTTGCCGATGATCTTCATAACCTCCATTTCACGCACTAAACTGGCGATGTCATCATCGGTATGGCCTTCCTTCACCATCTTCACGGCAACAATTGAGTTATTAACCTCGGCCATGACGACACGTCCGAAAGCGCCCTCACCAAGTGTTGCGCCCAGTATCAGTTGTGAGCGTGGTATTTCCCAATTGGAATCCAATGGAAACTCGTATTCGTTGAAAGGTGCCGGTTCCGAGTTGGAACTCTGCAGCACAGTGGTACGCTGCTTCTCAATTTTCACCACCGGCATTATCATAGTGTCCATCGAGCCGCTGGAGTCGCCACTCGGCGGCTTATATATGATTACCTTCTTTGTCCACTGATGCACCGTTTCTATGCGTTGTTTGAGCAGCTTTTCGTGCTTAACTTTACGCAGCACATACACGAAGAAGATGATGCAAACCAAAGCGAGCAGCACCATGACGGCCACAATACCCCATATCTCATACCCGTGCATAGATTTCGCTATGGCGCGTACACTGGGATCTTGAATGCGCAGGTAAGCGCTGCTATGCGACTGACCGAGTCCGTTCATTTCGACACAGGTGTACCAGCCTTCGTTTTCTGGCGTCACATTGGTGAAATTCAAAATATCTACGTCTTCCACATTCTTCAGAAATGTAGTATTCGCCGAGCAGGCGGTTTTGTTGCAAGGCGTGAATGTCCAGGTTTTTTTGCTATGTAAATCGGATAAGTAGACACATTCCATGTTGCCGCTTGCGTTTAACGCCAATGTTAGATTCATAGGCGCTTTCAATATAATCGGTTTGTGATTGACACGATCACTAATGATCAATTTCGTTGCATGCTCAATGCAACCGAGATAGTTACATACGCGACACTTGTATATGCCTGAGTCTTCGGGTACCACATCTGCCATATGTATACCCCATTTGACCTTGCGCACACGTCCCATATGCCGTGAGATCTTTGTATCATTGAGCGTCCATGTTATGGTCGGCTCCGGTCGGCCGGTTGCCGGACACGATAGTTGTATATAACTGCCGGAAGGTTTGGAGAGTATATTCGGCAGATATTTTGAATTCTTGAAACGTGGCTCGAAATCAGTAGGCGATTTCGTTTCGCTGCCATCCGTGTTTGTGGCGTTGGTGTTATTCCTAGGCGTGCCGTTTGAATCATCACCGTCCACGTTGTCGATGTCGCCATTTTCCACTGCCATCTCGGTGCCGAACTCTTGCTCGCTACGCTTTTGTACCTCGAATACCGCATCGTCATAATCGTTGAGCTCTTGCGAAGTGGGCTTTCTGGCCGACACCGTCAACGGTGTTGTGAGCACACAAAACAACAAAATGCTGAGGCAGATAATTTTGAGTACTTCCGAAATAAGGCCCATTGTCGGAGTCGATGTAGGTCCGACAGTGTCTAGGTGGCTACTGATTGTGGCATTGCGTCCACATGTTGCCGTGGCAACTCCACTCTGGCGTGGATATCTATTTTTGTAATTTATGCGACTATGCTGTGGTTTATGACTCGCTGCCGTTTCGGCGACGTCTATGACTGTGGCGGCCATATTTTTGCTCCAGCAGCGTCTCGAGTGGCTTTGTCTGACTGTTGCTATACAATTTGCTTGAAATGTGCTTGTGTTTGCAGTGTTTGCTGTGGTTGTTGTGGCAGTTGGTGCGTTCGTCGCTATGTCGCGTGTTGCATCCATTTTTAGTTGCACCCGCCTGTTTATTTTTGTAAATACCTCGCAAGGGGTGCACGTTGACACATGTGCGGTGTATATGGTTTTGTCATGCGGATGCTGAGAGCGCTGTGCGTTGTTGTTGTGCCTGTTTCGGCTTCTTGATTCACCGGAAATCCACTTTAGTTTCTTTTAATTTGAGACTCTCTATTTCTGCTTTTAATTTATTGCTGTTGCTTTAGCGTTTATCGCGGTGCCGTTGCTGTTCCTAGTTATTTTACCAGTTGTCACAGTTGTTGTTGTTTTCTATGCATTTGCACGCACTTCTGGCGATCGAGTGCGACATGTGTTTTTCCCGTTTATCATTCGACGATCGACGTTTGATGTTTGATCACTTTGCGTGGCTGCGTTGATCCCCAGCGTGATCTGTTGCGACAATCACCTTTCGAGCGGAAATCTCTAAATGTATATGTGGCACTGTTGTCGGTCTTTTGATTACTTTTTGGTTTGCGGTTGCGTTGCGCTTCAATCGCTGTTGAAGGATTTATTTACTTGGGGCCTTCTGTCTTATCTGCGGTAATGTAGCTGTCAAATTCTTTGATGACAGATTTGTTGATTCTTCTCAAAGGTTTCTGTAATGATGGATGAAAGAGGAAATGCATAATGTTATAAAATGGCGCAATTAAAATATATATTTTTGGATCTTAGGAAATTAGTTGCTATATGTCTGAGAGGGAAACTTTTCTTGGTGTTAAATGCAGGGCACTTAGAGCTCTAAAGCTTAGAGAGATTTTTTTTTCAGAAAAATCATTAGAAAATGAATACTTATATAGAACAAGTGAGGAAGGGCTAAGTTCGGGTGTCACCGAACACTTTATACTCTCACATGACAAGTTTCATCAAGATATCTCAATTTGTACTCAAGTTACAGATTGCACGCACGGATAGACAGACATCCGGATTTCAACTCTACTCGTCACCCTGATCACTTGGGTATATATAACCCTATATCTGACTCCTTTAGTTTTATGACTTACAAACAACCGTTATTTGAACAAAATTATAATACTCTCYTTAGCAACTTTGTTGCGAGAGTATACAAATAAATAACAAATAGAAATCTCCATTTTCGAAACAAGGAGGAACTTATTGGAACCAATGGCTGGAAGTAAAAAATTTAAAAAATATATTTTTTTCTATTTTAGGCAAAAAAAAAATCAAGGATATTCATCACTAAATCATATTTTCAAAATTTAAGCAAAATTCCATAACAAAAAAATTTGTATTCAAGAATGAGAAAGCAAAATTTGCGCTCTATAGCCAATGATTCAATTAAGCTTGCTAAATTTCTAAATAAAATCAAAAGCAAAACAATTTAAAAACATTCTGAAAATGTATCGAAAATTACGTTTTATCAATTTAAGAGCAGGCAGCATCAACGCGAGCTAAATCGAAATAAATGCACAAAAGAAGGGGGATTCACTTGATTTGTTTTATTGCAATTTAACGCTATTACTACTGAATATATATATGTGCGTGGCAATATATGTAAGCATGTCTACAAATACCAACCCAAGAGTGTTTCGTGCGAATTTCATCTAAATAAGCAATATGTGCTTATAAATTGCGCTGAATTCACTCAAAGCAAAACCATAAATGTGGCAACCAAATTGAATGAACAGCGTAATGCAATAGAACATTGAAATACAAAAAAGAAAAAGTGTGAGTGTATTGTGTATTGTGTGAGTAAACAAATGTACTTGAATACCTGTGTGATACTATGGTGAATGTACGCAGTGCTCAGCGGGTAAACAATTTATACCATACAAAGTTTACACATTTTGGAAGATTATAAAAATTCAAACATAAAAATTTGTTATCCAGTTTTTCTTGGAAAAAAAATTCTGAAAGAAGTACTTGGTCTATTTGAAGACAGCTCGAAAGTAAGAGTACGCTGCATTTGTCGAACAATATCACGACGTTAAGCACGAAATATAAGAGAAGTCCGGTCATAATTCCACAAAAGTTAAAAAGTTTACAAAGCAAGCTTTTTTACTAGAAGGCGACGCCCATAGAATTGAATCCATATTTTTTTGGTTCAATAAAAATGCGTAAAATAATTTGGTATGACCATTAAATGAAGTTGATTGAGATAGCGGTTGAAAGATATCAAACAAACATATTGTTAAGCAATGTGTGGATATGAGGAAGCAAATTGAGTTGAAAATTGTCAGGCCGGTATTGAAAAGATGACCAGAGAGCTCGTTAATAGGTCACTTTGGACATGATTGACCGTGCGAATTGATCTCACATTCATGGAGAGCATTTTAACTGCCGATGAGATATGGATTTATGAGTATGATATGCAAACAAGTCACAATTGTCGAATTGAAACCCTCGGAATGATGAATAATTAAATATATTACGTTTTATTTACAATTTCCACGTACCTTTCTGACACAATTTAAAATAATACATGCAAGTGGACTGAAAACAATGAACTGAACTTAAAGTGTGGAAGCACGTCATAGTAACCAAACCAAGTTATGGCGCCTATATTTTGAGTTGAGATAGATAGATAGAGAAATTCTAATCGACTATTATTCAAGCAGCGTCGAATCTTTATTTTCAGCATCATTGGCTCATGTGAAGAATGATGTGAAAATATATTTTTTTTTATCAAGCCCATGTCTTTAGTTAATAGAAAATATAAAAATAAAAATGGACGACTTAGGGACCGAAGTGCTCCTTCATCCACCGTATGTTATACCTCACCTTTAGTAGCTTTTTGAGCTCAAGAAAATGTTTTTTAGCGCTACAACTGAGAAGAACAGAGTAGCTAGAGTATAACAACACTAGAAAATAAGTGTTAAAGGCCACTCTTGCATAAAACAAACATATTTTGCCAACAAAAAAAAAAAAATTTTTTTAAAACATTGCATTTCAAGCACCCAGAATGACGTAGCTTTAATAAAAAATCAGAATTCCTGTTATAAGACCTGGCAAACTTTGGACATTTCCGGCGGAAAAGCGCATTTTGTAAGGTAAGGAAGTGCAAAAGTACACAAGAAATCCGAATAAATAAACTTACGTGAGATTTTTCAATTTTTCAGAAAAAAATATATTTGCACTAAAAATATTCCATGAAAATTACGTGTGTATGTGTTTGTGATATTATTGCACTATATTAATTATAATGACTTCATCGAGCGCACGTTCAAAAATAGTTACATATACATACATAAGCATAACTATATATATTAAACATATACAAGTATTATTATGGAGAAATTAGCGTAAATGCATGCTTACCCAATTGCACTTTCAACCTTCACACCTTTAGCTATATACATTTAAAATATGTCAATATATAGTATATATACAAAAAAATATCTTTTTTTTTACTCGATTTCGAATTGAAATTAAACCAGCGGAAGTCAATGGCGTAGCATTATTGGTACTTCGTGCTCATTTCACGTTTTTATATGTGTACTAGGCATTACCAGATATTTATTGAACTGTAAATAATGATTATTGCTAAATGATTTTAATTTTACAGTGTGTATGCATAGCATTTGAAGAATTTTATAAAAACTTACGGTTGCTCAAAGTCAGGCTAAGAAATTTGAATTAAAATATGAGAATTTTGTACCAGTTTGGCGTAAATTTAGACGTGCTTTCTATTTAAATTTTATGCAAGCTTTCATAAAGAAATTTATTTTATAATTTTTGTTTACACAATGTAGATCAATATCCTTCCATTCTTCGTACACATGTCTATACATATTTTTCTTTGAAATATATCTAAACGGAAATTTATAAAACTAGTAAAATTGAAATTGCTTTGAAAATATCTAAAACGGATTTATGTTCGAATATAT